AATAAGTTGAGATTTTACTTACTTCTCACTTGCCAGGTAATTTCACTGAGGATATTTATTACAACAAATCTGAAGTACAATTTCAGTTATTTTTAAAGTAACGCAAACGTTTTTTATGCCCGAAGATATTATAGTAGCGTAGATATTGCACCTGAGTTTTATTTGGTAAAAATGCTTAGCGAGATCAAAGTGTTACAGTTATGAGACCGGCAGCGATACTGTGCGTGACTGTGGCCTCCTGTACATCCACTCTCCTCCTCCACCACACTTTAATCCTTATGAAGTGCATCAAACATCGACTCTTAAAAAATTACTTCTAGCTTGTGATTCACAAATATCTTGCTCCCTAACTCAGGTATACAGAATTCAACAATTGCAAATAATGCGTTACCAAATGGCTTCCCCTACAACACAGAGATTTCAAAGTGTTCACTTGGCGTTGGTTTCATACTGAATCAGTCTCTTGTCTTGAAAGCTTCATTAAGGTCATCTGAGACAGGTAACTAGAACGTCATCATTCACATTAGCCTTGCCAAGAGTGCAGCTTGAAGGCAGAGGACCCTGCCAACATGGATTTTAAACACGATTCCCCCCATCGTAGGGAGGGAGAGATGTGACCAGCCTCCACTAAAGGAACGGAGAATGTGTCAACTACTTTTGAATAGGCATGTTTGAGGAAAGGTCAACTTGCTAGCGTCTTTGCAATACTTCTGTGACTGTGTCAGAGTAATGAATGCACTTGCTGCCTAATATTTTTGCCATAAACAGGCTTGTGGCCTCGTAGCAATAAGCGGAGTCAAGTTGATAGTGAGAACCACTTTTCTGAAATTGTGAGATATGAGGAGGCAAAGTTGCCATGTTCTTTTTGACGTCAAACAACTTCATAGACAAAAGAATGTTTGAGTGAACCAATGGTACTGCCAAGGTAACAAACAATCGGATGCAACGAATAAACATAGGTAAATCCTTATCACAGGAAATAAAACTCACAGTTTTACTACCAAGTTACCTGGTTCTTTGAATTCAATTCTACAACCATTAGTTAAAGTCAGATGGAAGTCTTAAATACTTTCCCAGAACTGCACTGTCATACGGGTGCAATCCGAACACAGTATTGCTGCTTTTATCGTGTTAGGCACAAAAGAAATAGGTTAAATCGCCCTCCAACTCAATTCATCTACCTCAAACCCTTGACAAATGTAGGCCTGTAGGAACAACGACAGGAGTCTCAACAGTCTGCCTTTGAAGGAAACAAGCATGCAACATCATATCACATTTCTGGATGACGACACCTTCATGGACTTAAAGCTAGAACGTCCAGCATAGATGTATGCAAATTCACTTAATTGCACTAACTTCCGCTTTTATCCTAGTTAGGTCAAACGATACTTCTCCGTCAATGCCTGATGCAGGGGCTAGAATGCACACCGGTTCCAACTTCCAACCTTTTTAAAGAAAAGGGCAATTACCGTCTGAATGCCCTGCATTCGATAAGCAAGTAGGAATGAGACACAACTGAAGGTG